ACGGGAGCCCCGGCGCCGCCCGCGGCCCCGTCTCTACAAATGCACTTTGTTGGGTCCTCGCCGCGCCGCGGCCCCCCTGCCCCAGCCCCGCTGCCTATAAATATGTATGTACGTACGTGCGCCCGGCCTGTAAATAGCCCCCCCGGCCCGGCCCCGGCCCCGGCCGCCCTTCCCGCCCGCCCCGGCTCCCGGAGCCGCCGCCGCATCCCGCCGGGCCGGCTCCGCATCCCGGAGCCGGGGGCAGCGGGTATGTTCTGCCTCCCCCCACGGCCAGCGCGGGGGGAGTCCGATATATATATATTATATATAATAGAGCCAAGACTGGTTGCTGTTCCCCGCTGTGTAATTGGGCTGATTTTCTTGCTTTTCCRCGGTAAAAATAGTTGTTTTTTTGGGGCTACGCGCCCGGGCTCTGCTCCGCGTCGCCCCGGTGCCGGCGCAGCGGGTCCCGCAGCCGCAGCAGCTCGCGGAGCCGCGCGGCGGCCGGGCACGAGGCCGGGAAGAGGTTGTTCTGCGGGGAGAGAGGCTGGTGCCGGGCGGCAGCCGGTGCCGGTACCAACACCGGTGCCYGTCGGCGCTCACCTGCAGCGCCACGCGCAGCGGCCGCGCCTCCCGCTGCAGCAGCGCCACGAAGGCCTCGAGGCCGCGCTCCGTGATGCGGTTGTCTGTACGGGGAGGAAGAGGATGGGCAGCACCGCGAGGCGACGACGGCGCCTGGGCGCCCGCGCCCGCCGCCGCTCACAGGCCAGGTTGAGGTTGAGCAGCTCCCGGTTGCCCAGCACGAAGACCTGCCCGTCGCGGTGCTCGGCCTCCTCCAGCAGCGCCGGGGGCTCCTCGGCCGCCGCCGCCGGCGGCGCCTGTGGGCAGAAGGGCCCCTGGGGGGCGACGGGGCCGTGGCACCGGCCGGGGCGGCCGCCCCGCCGGGGTGCCCCTCACCTCCATGTCCAGCACGGGGCTGCGCTTGTCCCTGGCGCCGGCCTTGGTGCCCTTGGCGCGCGCCGCCTTGGGCTCCGCCGGCGCTGCGGGAGCGCGGGGCGCTGAGCGGGCGCCGCTGTCACCGCGGGGCTGCCGCCGCCGCGCTCACCTTTCTTGCCTTGCTTGGCGTCGTCCTTGCGCCCCGGCGCCGTCCCGGTGCTGCCGCCGCCGCCAGCCGGCTGCCCCTTCTCGTCCTTGCGCTGCTGCTCCTGCGCCTGTAGGCGCCTCAGCCCCGCTGCGCCCAACGGGGGCACCGAGGGGGGCACCGAGGCCGTGTCCCAGCCTCCATCGCCCTCCAACGGGGGCACCGAGGCCGTGTCCCGGCCTCCATCGCCCTCCCCTGGGGCCACCGAGCCCCGCTCCATCCTCACCTTCTTCTTGGGCGCCGCTCGGTTCTGTTTGGCCGCAGGCGCCCGGTCCAGCGCGGCGCCCGCCTGGCTCCCGGCGCTGCGCTCGCTCCGGCTGCCCTCGGCTCTCTGTGGGGCAGGACGGGCAGCCCAGGCCGGGGGGCTGCGTCGGGCGCCCGCCCCCGGGGTGGTAGCCGCCGAGGCGTCGCCAGCGTCCCCGTCACTCACCGCGCGCGGCTGCCCCGGCGCCTCCTTGAGCAGCAGCCACCTCCTCTCCACCAGCTCGGCGTGCGTCAGCGCGAAGGGAGCCAGCACCTTGGGGTGGGCGCCGGGGCGGGCTCGCTCGGGGCGCCCGCCGGCGGCACCGCGGTGGCACCCACGGAGAACACCCACCTCGGCCAGCCGCAGCGCCCCGGCATCCCCGATRGCGTTGTGGGACAGGGAGAGCGAGAGCAGGCAGCGGTTGAAGCGCAGGGCCTGCGGGGCCAGCACGGGCTGTGGGATCCCGGCGCGTCCCGCGGGTCCCGGCACGGTGCCCGCGCGGCGCCGCTCCTCACGTCGGCGAGGTGCCCGGCGCCGGCGTCCGTGATGCGGTTGAAGGCGAGGCCGAGCGAGACGAGGCCGCGGGCGGAGGCCGCGCGCCCGGCCAGGCTCTGCGCCACGAGGCGGGCGGCCTCGTCGCCGATGTCGTTGTGGCGCAGCGAGACGTGCGCCAGCCT